ATGTATTAGTAGACAATTCAATAAAATACAAATAAATTTCTGGCCAGGTACAGTGTCTCACACCTGTAATCCTATGACTCTGGAAGGCAGAGAAAGGCAGGAGGATTCCTTCAGCTCAGGAGTTCAAGATCAGCCTGAGCAAGCGGAAACCCCATGTCTACCAAAAATAGAAAAATTAGCCAAGCATTGCGGTGGGTACCTATTGTCCTAGCTACTTGGGAGGCTGAGGCAGGAGAATCACTTGAGCCAGGAGTGTGAGGTTGCTGTGAGCTAGGCTGACACTATGGCCCTCTAGCCTGATGACAGAGTGAGACTATCTGAAAACAAAAAAAATTAACAAATAAATTCTACATAAAACTGTTTGATACAGCCAGGCACAGTGGCTCATGCCTGTAATCCCAGCATTGTGGGAGGCTGAGGAGAGAGAATCACTGGAGCTCAGGAGTTCGAGACTCGCCTGAGCAAAAGTGAGACCCCGACTCATGGAAAAAATGGAAAAACCCAGCCAGGCGCTGCGGTGAGCACCTGTAATCCCAGTGGCTTCTGGAGGCTGAGGCAGCAGGATGCCCACAAGCCGGGAGTCGGAGGTAGCAGTGAACTACCGAGCCGCTGCACTCTGCTCAGGGGCACAGGGTGGGACTCTGTCTCAACAACAAAAAAAAACTGTTTGATATTATTCTTAATCTATCAATTTGCATCTTTTTAATTCAAATTTAATTTAAAATTGACAATGGTTTTGAATATGCATACAACCTGGTTGGGGTTTTTTGGGGGGGGGGGTTGTTGTTTAGAGACAGAGTCTCACTATGTTGCCCTGGATAGAGTGCCATGGTGTCACAGCTCACTACAACCTCCAACTCCTAAGCTCAAGTGATTCTCTTGCCTTGGCCTCCCGAGTAGCTGGGACTACAGGTGCCCGCCACAACGCCTGGCTATTTTGTTGTTGTTGTTGTTGTAATTGTCATTGTTGTTTGGCAAGCCCAGGCTGGATTCGAACCCGCCAGCTCCAGTGTATGTGGCTGGCGCCCTAGCCACTGAGCTACAGGCACCGAGCCCATACCGCCTGTTTTCAAGAAGGCACACTCATCTGATGCTGCTGGAAAATTATTTGGCCTCTTACCAGTTATTCTACTTCTGGGAATATAAACAAAGGAAAGACACATCAAAATATAGGCATTACAAATATATGCTTTATATCACCATTAGAAATAAACCGTGTTCAGCAATAGGGAAAGATGCATAAATTAAAATCATTAAACATCATGCTTTGAAGATTTAATGCATGAATAAGTGTTATGCATAGAAAATAAAGAAAACATCAAGATTCAAAACTATGAACAATACCTGTAGTCTGAGCCCAGAAGTCTGAGACCAGCCTGGGCAACACAGCAAGACTCAGTCTCAAATAAAAAATAAAAATTATTTACAATTTTATTGAAAAAAAATGTGTGTGCATAAAACTTGGAGGGAAAACAATAAAGCCTAGGGTAAGATAAATTAGAACATCAGCAGGTATACCTGGCTAACAGAAATAAATCACCTTTATTCCTGTGTTTTTCTATACTTTTAAATTTCTTACAGCTATAGAAAAAACAATGTCTTTAAAAATGCATAACAAGCATCAATAGTTGTTAAAACTCCTTTTAGACCCCCCAAGTCCAAAGTGTACAATGAATACACCAAAATCCCCGTAAACCTATGTTGTATAAAAGTCAGCAAGCTAGTTATTGGCATCATCTGGGTAGGCGGCTACCAGTCCACAAATTTAGAATGCAGATGACATCTGAGAAGAAAAGCAAACACCCCACTAGAAGGTTGAAAAGCCGTTTTTCTCCACAAGGTGGGCCTTGTCTCAGGGGGCCATTCCTGGCTGGGACCATTTCACGGTTCTCACTTGCAGCAAGAGGAGCACACAAAAGTTGACCGAAAAGCAATAGGCCAAGGCACAAAATATAACTTAAAAGAGTTTACCCGAGCTACCCGAGCCACAGCGAGGACAGCTGTCAGAAGACTGAGCCAAGTAACCCAGCAGAGGCTCTCCACTGGCCTTTGCTACTAACAGGTTTTTAAAGGCAAAAAAGGAACAGAAAGTGAGCTGGTCAGAAATTCTCAATGGTTTACAGAAATAACTCTGATTCAGGACCAGCTATACAGAGTTAAACAATAGGCCATTGGTTATGGTATCTGCTGTGGCATTCTTAGGCTGATTTATAGCGGCTGGTGCCTATGGCCAGCAGTTCTAAGAGCAGAATACACAGCTCAAGTCAGGAAGTAGAAATTCACCAATGCCATCTTATTTTAATGGATCTGCAGGTGACTCCCATTCCTCAGGTAAAAGTTTTTTTTCTTCTCACAAGGAAATCAACTTTAAAAGTAATTTAAGAATTTACTTGCCAACAGAAGATAAGTAAGTACAGGAGGCCATCATTGTCCACACCTGCCCCTCTTTTAAAGGAATAAAACACTGCATTAACACTCCAATGAGAGTAGCTTAAAGCACAAACACACCCCCAGACTTTCTGATTTACTGAAGTAGCCAGGAGTGGATGCCAGAGAACAACCAGTTCACACAATCTCCTGGCTGGTGCTGATGCTGCCAGTCTAAGAACCACATGTTGAGAACAGCTGCTCTAAAGCACAGTATACATGTTGCACATGCATCCTCTCCAACACCAGGAACTTTAAGAACTCAAACTCCAGCCTGCAAGAACAGGGGCTGTTTGGAATAGCCTTTTCCATGCATTTTTTTAATATATATATAAGGTCTTGCTCTGTGGCCCTGACTAGAGTGCAATGATCAAGGCTCACTGCAACCTCAAACTCCTGGGGGGTTCAAGCGAACCTCTTGCCTCTGCCTCCTGAGTTGCTGGAACTATAGGCACACACCACCACACCCAGCCCTCACCATGCTTTTAAGAACAAGTACCCCAAAGGAAGCAGCTCAGTACAGCTGCTCCCAACACAGCCTTGGGAGCCAATCTGCCTATGTTTAGACCCTGCTACACCACTTACTCGCTTTGTGATCCTAGGCTACTTAACCTCTCTCAGCTCAAGAGTCTTTGCCTCCAGCAAGGGAATGGGCAGCTATCCAAGTCATCAATAGCAAGTCATCACCTTCCCATTCCACCCCCCCACCTACACTTTGAAAATTCACAGAAATTGCATCAAGGGTTGCTTGCCCTATCTGAAGTTGAGGAGACCAATTGCCCACATCACATCATGTAATTATTTTTGGTAACCACACCCATATTCCTTCCTCCTCCGTGCCCCTCTCTCCTTAAGGGCTGCCAAACCACAAAGAAAGGTCCCTACACACTGAGTTCACTACAATTAAAACAAGAGTAAGTGACTCATCCTCTCAGATTCCTTATGTTTTCCTGTAATAAAAGGAAATATCAGAATATGTGGGAAAAGATAGAAGTGCAGAGGTCAAGAAACAGTAGATCTACTAATTAGCCAAGTGTGGCTAAAGCCCAAAGATTCAGGCCCACCTAGTTAGTAGTGCAGGCTATCAGATGGACACCTTAGATAATAAGAGTGTCACCTCCCAGAGTTTTTTGGCCTATTGCTTTGGTCAAGAAGGCTAGGGCTGTGGGCCCTCCCAGCTCAGGGGATTTTTGGTGGTTTTCTCCTGGTCAGAACTACCAGCATCAGCCAGGCATGTAATCTCAGCACTCAGATGGCCCAGGCAGGTGGATTGTTTGAGCTCAGATCAAACCAGCCTGAGCAAGAGCTAGACCATCTCTACTAAAAATAGAAAAACTATCCAGCCATTGTGGCTGGTGCCTGTAGTCTCAGCTACTCAGGAGGCTGAAACAAGAGGATCCTTTGAGCCTAAGAGTTTAAGGTTCTGGGAGCTATGATGCTGCTGGCACTCTACCAGAAGGACAGAGTGAGAATGTCTCAAAAAAAAAAAAAACAACTACCTGCATCAAGATTATTCATGGATGGAGCTCCTCTCTCTAGGGTGAAGATTCCAGAAAGACCACACAGATTTCAGGGGGACCCCATCCTTGGAGCAGTCCTCAACGGTGGAAGTGAAACCATTGGAAACGGAAAAAGCTGGTCAAAAAGATACACTCCAGTGGTGGCTAGGTATGTCCCATCAAAAGCAAAACATGAAGCCACACTGGGCAGTGTGCTGTAATCTCATAATCTCAGCTACTGGGAGACAGAGACCGGAGGATCTCTTGAGTCTGGGAGTTAGAGACCAGGCTGGACAACAAGGCAAGATCCCATCTCAAAAAGAAAAAAAAGGCAAAATGTGGAAGCAGATCTTGTTGTAATAGCGTCCTCATTCATAAAAAAAAAAATTACTTTACCCACAGTAAATTTACCATAGATAGCGTACCAGGACACACAGGGACACATATACATGGAGAGAGCGAGAGACGTGGTCAGAGAAAAGCGACAGAGACAACTGGACACAAAGTGACGCAGAGGGGAACCGGGTGGAGTTGGACCAAATTGTCTCCTAAGGAATATCGGAAGAGGTGGGGACACTATTGGGAGATGGCATTAGTCCAGGAGACTAAATTAGGCTTTGGCTGAAATCAGATAAAGGAAGCTAGTCACAAGCTGCTTACTTAAAAAGAAAAAGATGCCATTCTAGTTCAGGAGACCGTGACTCCCCAGCAGCAGGTGGGAAGCCGGCGAAGGGTGGGCGTGTTAAGGGTCCAGTCATTCTCCCGCAGAGCAGTGATTCCCGGCTTAGGCAGCCTCGGTTCTCCGCCTGCCACGCCACCCCGGGCACCACAGGCTGGCCGGGCCTCCAGCGGCAAGGCAGCGGGCCCTGCGCCCCATCAGGTCCCCGTCGCCTTCCCGGCGCAAAGGGGCGCGGGCGGGGACCACGCGACTGGCGTGAGGACGCCACAGGTGGCAGCGGGAAGCCCCGGCGTGGACCGCAGAGCAGGGAAAGCGCTCCTTTCGACCACCCCCCGCCCCCGCAGAAGGCGCGGGCCCGGGCGACACGGAGTCCCAGCTCCGGCGGGGGCACTCACCAGAAGAACACGCGCGAGCAAAGGTTCGCGTCCTGCAGAGGGTTGGGCTTCGCCTCCGCGTACACTGGCTGCATCTCGCCGGGCGGGGCGGGCGCGGGCCGGAGTCGCGCTGGTCAGACGGAGGTGGCCGCGGGCTCTGCTCCCGCAGGCGAGAGGAAAGATGCTGGAGCTGCGGCCGCCGCGCCGGTCCGCTCGGCGGGAGCCCGAGAGCCGGCCGCTTCCGGGAGCCGAGCGCCGGCGGCACGCCCCGTCCCCGCCTCCGGGCTCGCAGCCACCCAGGCGGCCTCGGGGGCGCCCGCTCCGCGCCGCCGCCTGGAACCCGGGAGCGGCGAGCCGAGCGCGAGAGCAGCGGGGGAAGGCGGGTAGCGTGGCGGCAGGAGACGCGCGGGGAGCCGCCGGGTTGCGCGAAGGTGAGGCCAGGGCGGGATGAGGCCCAGGCAAGCGCTCTCACGTGCTCGGGGCTGACTGAGGACTGTGCCCAAGTTCAAGATCAGAGTCAAGGCGTCAACCCTGGTGGTGTGGGCTGGGGGCGGGGGGCGGGGGGCGGCGCCGGCTCCGCCTTGCCCCAGCCGTTCGGAAACGCCTCCTCGGCTGCGGCTTTCTGGAGATCGGGGGAAAGCTGCCCTGCTCTGGGCTCGTTGCCTTACTCTAGACCAAACTAGGGTGCTTTGGGAGGTTCTCCCAAAGAGCCGAACATTTGACCACGGACGACGTTAGGGCTTAGCCCAGATTATCTTTCTAGAGCTGCAGGACCTAAAGAAAGGCAGGTAACTTGAGAGTAGAAGATCTGAAATGATTTTGGAAGATGAACGAAGGCTGCTGTCTCTGGGGGCGGGCTTTTGGCATCACTACTTGTGTTGTCTTGTGCGGTGGCCCTCGGTGACCTTTTTGCTGATCTCTTAGATTGGGAAAGGGAGGTAGAAGACGAAAGAGACTGCCTCATGATCTCATCGCACCCTGTAACCTAAACAAAGTAACAGTGGCAAAAGAAACGCGTGTTCCAGAAGACCGTTTATGCACATTTCTGGGTACTTTTCCTCCTTCTTAACTCGTATCTTGACCCTCTCAAGAAGGTTCTTCTTACTTTACAGAAGAGGAAAGTGAGAGACTCAAAGGCAGAACTTGCGCAAGGTCATAGAGCCAGTGAATGATGAAACCTGGTTTGTACTCAAGTCTGCTTCTGATCCTGGTGTGTCTCGCTGGTCAGTGTGCATGAGAAATTCCCTGAGTACACTGGTTGAATGATTGTAGGAATGTAAGCAGGATATCTTGTTCCAGGCTTTTGGACTGTCCCCACCCCTTGGGTTGTTTCTTGTGCCTGCCTTCAGAGACACCTTCTCTATCATTCAACCCTGAATGGAAACAAAAATCAAAGGTTACAAGTTCATGGTGTTTGTAACAAATCACTTTATTATTCTGTAATAATTTCACGTGTGTTTGCTAAAATGGTCTCGAAATATGGCTTTTTAAAGATACCCTTGCTATAGACAAACATGTAAAGCCAAGTACAAAAAATAATAAATAAAAGTAAAAAATAAATAAAAATACATGGCAAAATAGTGGTAATTGTTAAAGACAAATGATGGGTCTATTTTATTTTATTTCAGAGACAGGGTCTCACTATGTTGCCCAGTGTTGATTTGATCCCCTGGGCTCAAGCATTCCTACCGCCTCAGCCTGCAAAAAGGCTGGCACTGCCATGCCTGTCTCAAATTGGAGAATTTCTCTCACAAAAGGAAGATACTAATTTGAATATTGTAAGAAAACTGTGATCATTCAGTTACCTTTCTGTTAGCTCTTTCTCAGATAATGCGGTCTATAAACTGAAATAGCCTTCACCTGACTTACCTTCATAGCTCACAGTGCTTTTCGAAACTCACTAAATTTCTAACCTGATAAATGCTCAGCGATAGGTTATCTTTCTTTTTTCACAGAGTCTCACTTTATGGTCCTCGGTAGAGTGCCATGCCGTCACAGCTCACAGCAACCTCCAACTCCTGGGCTTAGGCGATTCTCTTGCCTCAGCCTCCTGAGTAGCTGGGACTACAGGC